CCCCAAAACCCCAAAACCCCTTGATGATTTATTAGTTTTGAATTTTCTAATTATAAAATTAAATGGTAGAGAGTTATAGACGATATAGAAACTTCGATTGGACAACAAATTAAGATTGGCAAATTTATTTCTCTAATTTATTTCCAGTACCTACACATGACAGACTAGAACTAATAAGAAGGAAATGGTTTAAATAAAAAATTGATTCTACTTTTGATATATAGTATGGGAATCCTAGAGAAGAGAGTAAAAGTTATAGCTAATCTCAGTAGCCACGTGAAAGTAATAGAGATGAAAGAAGTAATTAATAGAGTTAGAGCAGTCATAATTAGGATTAGTAGCAGAGAAGAAGTTCATAGAATGAAGATCATATTCCCAATCAACCTCAATAAATTCAGTATCCAGAATATAAAGTTTATTCAGAGTATTTTTGGATTGCATTCCTTGTGTCTTTTCTATTAGTAAGATCAAAACTTATTATTTGCTTGACGGCTATATTCGGAAATCTTTGTGAGATGTATGCCAGAAACGGTCCAATAGAGCTTAAAAGATAATATCTCAGCAAGGTTAAACATGACTTTAGTTTTCTACAAATAGGGTTTCTGTATTTAACTTTGCTATTAGCTTAAGGTAATATTATCATGTATGCACCTCTTTTTTTAACTGCGTTTCTAAAAACTGGTAGGAAAGTTCATCAATAACTATAGCAAAGATAAATTCTACCTCAGATTTAAGATTATATATAGAGAGGACTCTAATAAAAAGAATGGTTCATTTCTATGAGAGCAGATATTGAGATTTATACAGGATTTTACCTATTATTAAAAATGATAATTGGCTTCAAGGTGTGGATGCTATTGTGGGTAGCGATGTATTGGTAATACCTAAGAATAAGGTATTTTCTTTCTTCAGATACGAAGTAAGCTTTTAGAAATCTGGATAACTAGGTAAATCATCTATTAAACAAACCCTAATGCCCATAAATTTTCAGATAATTGCATAGGGGTGTCAAATAGTACTTAGCAGAGCAAACTGATCTAAATATCGCCTCAAGGCCAACCTTTTAGTCACATTGCTTAATCTTTTGAAAAGGTAGTTCAATTCAAATTAGATAGATCATTTTAGCATTAATTTCATAAATCATAGGCTTTAAATTGATTATACAGAATCTAAAAGATTTTATATAAAGCATCATGGGGTTTTGGGGTTTTGGGGTTTTGGGG